GATGGATGGATGGATGGATGGATGAATGGATGGATGATGGATGGATGGATGAATGGATGGATGGATGGATGGATGCACGCATGCATGGATGAATGGATGGATGGATGAGTGGATGGATGAATGGATGGATTGATGGATGGATGGATGAATGGATTAATGAATGGATGAATGGATGGATGGATAGATGGATGGATGAATGGATGGATGGATGGATGGATGGATGATATACCAGATTAGATATCAGTGAAATGTGGTTGTACAGAGCTGAGTTTTGACTTGACTTGTTAACACTTTGCACTGAAGGAAAAACCTTCTTTGTTTGCCTGAAGTGATTAGAAAAACCAGACCCACCTTTAGTCCAGCTGGACCTGGTAATCCTGAAACACCGGGCAGGCCTGATTCACCCTAATTGCAAAGAACACATCAACATTTAGGCTTTTACACAATATACTCCTGTATTGTTTTCATTATACACGCTCTGATTCTTACTTTGTCTCCTTTGTCACCAGGTAAGCCATCAATACCTGGAATACCTCCTGCACCCTGTGGAACGATTACAAATGTGTGGTTATCATCAGCACATGGCATTTTATGTCCAAGAATGACGGATAGTAAAATCGGTCCTCAGAATCTTCAGCTTCACACCTTCTCTCCTTTCTGTCCAGGAGGACCTGTCAACCCTATACTGCCTCTATCACCCTGTGAACAGAAGATAAGGGTTTAGGGCACTTGTTCTGTCAAACACAAGCATGCAGGCTGACCCGTGCCGGCGACGACAGCGTGCTGTCAGAACATCAACCTGCGAGCTCCACTCAGAATTGTTATGAAACATCATACGGTTGTTAGACATGTATTAATAAACCTGGTCAATAACAGAACAGAAGGTATTACACACAGATAAGATGGAAATCTGTAAAGGAGACATAAAGAGCCACACTGGGACAAACAGAACCCTTTTGAGTAAAGAATTAAGAGCCAGAATCTGTTGCCAGTTTCACCAGGACCCACTATGGTCTGGTTCAACCCAGAAACTCCAGGAACAATGGGTTCTCCGTTGTCCTCAGAAGGTTTTGGACTGTACAGTGATGTCACCGTCTGTGCCAAAGAATCCAGAGGAATTTCAAAGTTGGCCTCCGTTAGAGGTAATGGCTTCTAAATTACACAGAATGCTGAAGTCTTACCCACCACAGGACTTCCCTGTGCTTCTTAAACCACTTTACAAGCCACACAAGGTTACCCTTTAATTACCTCAGCTCTATATTAACACACAGACTTTCTTTATCGCTACGTTTTGAAGGACGGTGAACAGTAACGCTGTTGCACAGGAAACTCCCTGCTCTGGTTGACTAAAGGTACAATTAGAATTAATCAGAGCGGGATAGACTCACTTTCACTCTAACACATGACTAACACAGCTTATGTCATGTGTCTGCTTCGGTTTTAGAAAAGTTAACGACCACAGTCTGTAGCCTGCTCACAGAAAAGGTTAGAACAGATGATCACAAAGTAAGATCAATCCTGGACTGAGTGAACTGAACCGAGCGGCTTCTTTCCTGTCTGGTCTCTTCAGACACGGCTCCCACAATACATGACCTCCTAACTTTACTTTCTTATATAAAACATTATACAGAAATATGTTCTGCTTTTCTTGGTGTATAGACATTTTTTTATCAGTCAGAACAGAGTTTACTTCAATTATTTTGATTAAAAAAAGAATCATTTTATTTAAATTTTTAGCACCTTATTATTGTTTCTAAGAAAATATTTTACTATGGGGCATCAAAACTGCTTATAAGAACCTTAATGGATTTTGAGTGAAATAAATGCAGCAGTGAGACTCTTCCTGTCAGCATGTAGCTGCAGAGGCTGAAGGGGGGCGAGGAGAAGCTCATGTCACAGTAAGGCTTGAATGATGTGTCCGTGCTTGTTTTAACTGCTGCCACCAAACCATTTAAAGGGGGCGTGCCCTGGTTTATTTATTGTGTTTAAATGGTTAAATATAGACTGTAGGACAGCGAGGAGAAAAGAAACTATGTTTGGTCCACATGCTTATCAAACATGCAGACAAACATCTGTTTGGGTTAGAATGATGCTCATGCAAGGTGAACGTCACATCAGGTCACTTACCTTCACCCCTCTGCCACCTTTGACAGAGTTTAGATCGCCCTGCAAATAATTAATCAATAAGGATCAATTATTATCGAGGCAGGAAGAGAAACAGGATAGCTGGAAGGCATGCAGTGTGAAATAAATGAAGATGGATTAGCATTAAATAATATTAAGTACTGGGTAATCCAAACTTTACTAAATGCAAAGCTGAGATGCACGATGATGCCAAATGAGAAACGCTCCGGAGGTTTTGTGTCTTTTTGTTCTCTCGTTTTTATTTTTTATTTTTTTCTGACATTTTTATTGTTCACAATTTATGTATTTATTTATCTTTGTGCTGTTTAAGACATTTATAAATCATATCTTTCTGACGACGAGGACTATGACTTCTGTTTTTTTTGTTTTTGTAACATTTATACATTTCAAAATATTTAAGTACTTCCAAATATTTTCCTTATTAGAAAATATATCCACATTAGAATCTCTTCATTTCCTTCAAATAAATTCTTCTTAAAATCTGTTTCAGCATATATTTAATCCCCTTTTGCTACTTTTAGCTATTGTTATGTTACTTTGGGCTCATAGCTATGTTTTTGCTACATTTAATTTATTGCAACTTTTAGACTTAAGCTGATTTTTTGCTATTTTTAGCTCATAGCTAGCCTTTTGGCATCTGTAGCTAGCTATTTTATATAATTTCAACTAGTGCATTGCTACTTTAAACTTTAGCTAGCCTTTTTCTACTTGTAGCAAGTTATTTGGTAACTAACTAACTATCTCTTGACACTTTAAGCTTTTAGCTAGACTTCAACTACTTTCAGGTTTTAGGTAGCCTTGTGCTACTTTAGTTTTTAGCTAAACTTTGACTGCTTCAGGCTCGTGTTTTGCAACATTACCTTTTAGCTAGCTTTTTGTTACATTTAGCTTTAGCTGAACTTTTATTACTTTTAGTTTAGATTTACTCTTTTTAATTAGAGTTTTGATACTTTTAGCTTGTAGCTATCATTTTACTACTTTTACTTTTCAGAAAACCATTTAGCTTTAAGCTTTTTGCTAGCCTTTGGATATGTTTATCTATTAGCTATCCTTTTGCTACATTTAAGCTTAAGCTATCATTTAGCTACTTTTACCCTTTACCATACCTTTAGCTAAATATAACATTTTGCTAGACTTTAGCTACTTTTATCTTTTAGTTAGCCTTTTGCCTTTTGGGTTATAACTAGGCTTCCATATTTAAATTTTAGATAATATTTGCTATTTTAAGCTGTCTTTTTGGCAGATTTCGCTTTTAGCCTATTTTAACTCAAAGCTAGTGTTTTCTGCTTATTTTAGCTTTAATAAGTACTTTAGCTTTTTCATCAAATTTCAGCAAATCCATTCAGCTCTCAGCCTTTACTCAACATTTTTACAGAAAGTAAAAGTTCTGTAGTTTTTCATGTTCTCTCTGCATTAGAAGATAAAAATATGTGAATGTGCACACTTTAAGATTTCATACAGTTTCTCCTTTTTCCCCTTTGATGCCTGCTGGTCCGACAGCACCTTTAGGGCCAATGTCACCCTGAAAATGTAGGCATATCCAGAATGAGAACAAAAGTCTGAAACACAGAAGCCTCTCTGTCACACTCAATGCTGCAGAGGTAGATGACCTTTTCACCCTGCGGACCTGCAGCACCAGGTGCACCGATGTCTCCCTGTGAGAAATGAAAGTACATCGGTCTTCTGAAGGCCGTTACAGAAAGGCTCCCCCCTGAGGAGTGGACCAAACAGATGGGGGTAAATGTGGGTTAGGGGTTTTACCTTCTTCCCCGCGGGGCAGGAGCAGTTGGCTTCAGGGCCTTGTTTCTGCTCGGCCACTGTCGGTGTTGGAGTGAGAATCTCCACCGGAGGAGCCTCTGTCACAACTTTCTTTGGGCACTGAAATTAGAAAATACATTTAAAAAAAACTTTTATAATTTATGAGAATTAACTTGCTCATATTGTTTGGACATTTTTTAATTTCCATTGTCTACAAACATTTACACCTTTGATGCAGTAACCCTGGGTAAGTAGCAAAGTGATTTTTAAGCTGTTAGCTCGTAGACAAATGTTCTGCACACTGCGGCTCTGGAGCCACACGAGGACCTTCAGGCTTTCTCTTTCTTAGGGACTCCTAAGTTTGGTCAAAGATAACACTAAACTCAGTTGTGTTTCACTTTGAGTTGAAAAAAATTCATACTTTTAACAGTTGACCCGCTTGTTATTAGTATTTTTCAAACAGCAGGTTGTTTCGATGAACTCAGCACTCAGAGCATCTCTTCATTTTAGGACCAGAATTAATCTAATTTGAATGAACTTTCCACTCGAATATGTTTAAAATACAGAAGTCAATGATACTGATAAATAATTGGTTCTTTAGCTTTGTCTATTTTTTATTTGACAAGATTTCTGACTGATAGTGTTTTTGTTTGACACACTGAAAATTATTTTGATTTACTTCAAACTGTTAGTTTTTCACAACTACTACATGTTTTAATGAATTTAGCTTGTTTGTAAAATTGACTGACTTTAAATGTATTTATTGGGGGCTAAGGATGACTAGCTGAGGCCACCATTATGATTTGGTTTAGATGTGAATAAACTAACAACACATTTTTCATGTTCATTTCATTAGGCTCTAGTATAGTACTTTATTTTCTCACTTCTAAATAAATAAATAATTAGACACAATGTCACAATATATTTTCTATGCATATATAGCATATAGCAGCACGGTGGCACAACTGGTAGAGCTGCTGCCTCTCAGCAAGCAGGTCCCTGGTTCAAACCCCGGTCCAGGGGCCTTTCTGAGTGGAGTTTGCATGTTCTCTCCGTGCATGCGTGGGTTTCCTCCCACAGACCAAAAACATGCATGTTAGGCTGATTGGTAACTCTAAATTGTCCCTAGGTGTGAGTGAGAGAGTGAATGGTTGTTTGTCTCGTTTGTCTCTATGTGTCCCTGTGATGGACTTGCGACCCGTCCAGGGTGTCCCCCGCCCCTCGTACAGTGATTGCTGGACATGGGCACCAGCGACCCCCGTGACCCAAAATGGAATAAGCGGGCAAAGAAAATGGATGGATGGATGGATGGATATAGCATATACATATTCATTTAAGTTGTTATTGTTACTTTAAGGGTCCAATACATTTTGTGGCACTTTAGAAATTAATGTAAATATGGCTCTTTGAAACCTAAACCTATGTTGCAGTCCAACAAAAACACTAAAAATTATTCGAACTGAAAGCTGGTTATCATTAGGGAGATTTTACTAAAAAGTGACTGTCACACGACCTTAGAAATTAATCAGATTTATAAATCTAGAGAAAGCAATATAAAAACGAGAGTTGAAAAAGAAATCATTTTAACAAAAATGCTTGTCTTGCTGCAGTATTTTAAGTAATAATAATAATAATAATAATCGTTTTATTTTGTTAAGGAAACAGAAAAAAATTGTAGCAACTTGGACAAAAAATGGAAATATCTGAATTAGAGCGAATGAAGGGTCACAGGCTAAAATGATCAAGGAAGTGAAGGATCTGGAAGGATTTAGATGAATTTAAGACAAATTACAACAATTTGGGAAATAAGAAGTTAAAATGAATATAGATGAAGACGAATACAGACATTAAGACATGAATACATATGAAGACTCCGAACTTAAAATATATGAGATAGATGATCAGCTTTATTCAATTTTTTTTCCTGTAATTAAAGATTGTAAATATTATAATGAAAAGAAATTTAATAATATTATAAAGACAAAATATGACCTCTCCATTATTCATATTAATAGCAGAAGTTTAAATGCAAATTCATCAAAAATAACAGATTACTTAAAACAGTTAAAGGGCACTTTTAGTACAATAGCAGTCTCAGAAACATGGCTGAACGAGGAAAGTATAAATACTGCTAACATTGAAGGGTATGAACTTTATTATATGAACAGAAAGAATAAACGAGGTGGTGGAGTAGCTATATTTATAAATAAGGAAATAAAATGCAAAAAAAAAAAAGACAAAATGTCAGTAACAATTGAAAATCTTATGGAAATAATTACAATTGAAATAATAAATAAGAATTCTAAAAATATAATTATAAGCTGTGCATATCGATCACCTGAGTCAAATATAGAGCTCTTCAATGATCAAATCGTGGAGCTGTTGGAAGGGAGTTCAAATAAAACTGTTTTTTTGTGTGGTGACTTTAATGTTGACTTAGGAAATAATATAGACTCACATAACAATATTACATTTATTAACTCAATGAATAGTTTAAATCTTTATCCATTAATATCAAAACCTACAAGAGTTACAACTCACAGTGCCACAATAATTGATAATATTTTTACAAATATAACAAATAGAAAAATAACGGGTGGTATTTTGATCACTGGTATAAGCGATCACTTACCAATCTTTACACTTTATAAAAATCATCAATGCAATATTAAAAGAGAACCAAATAAGAGAAAAATAATAAACACGTCAAAAAAAGCTTGTGATAATTTAATAGATGATTTACAGAAACAAAATTGGATGGATGTATATGTTGATGATGTAAACAAAGCATATGAAGTATTCATTAATATTTTAGGAACACTGTATGAAAAAAATTGTGTGCAAAAAAATGATCCAAAGCGTAATGTTGTTGATAAACCATGGATGACTAAAGGGTTAAAAAACGCTTGTAAACAAAAGAACCACCTGTATGCATGCTTCCTAAAACTAAAAACAAAAGAAGCAGAAGAAAGATACAAGAAGTATAAAAACAAGTTGGTATGGATAATAAGAAAACAAAAGAAGGAATATTATAGTAATTTATTAGACAAAAGTAATGGTAATATGAGAGCAACATGGCGAATAATGAACAGTGTTGTGAAAAATCATGAAACTAAACCAAGTGTTCCACAAGACTTTGTAAAGGATGGTAATGAGATCCATGATCAATATGAAATTGTAAATGAGTTTAATCATTATTTCGTAAATGTTGGCCCAAGTCTTGCAAACAAAATACCAAAAGTGGATACAAATGTGAATTCTACAGTTGCAGGTTGTACCAACAGTATATTTCTTGAAGGAACCAACAAAGAAGAAATACTGAATATTGTAAAAAATATGGCAGACAAAAGATCAAAAGATTGTATAGACATGGATATGATGATTGTAAAAAAAAATAATTAATTATGTTATTGAGCCGTTTGTATATATATGTAATCTGTCATTCTCAACAGGAATATTTCCAAACAATATGAAAATAGCCAAAGTAATTCCACTTTTTAAAAATGGGGAGAAACATGTGTTTAATAATTATAGACCGATATCATTATTGCCACAATTTTCCAAGATTTTGGAGAAGCTATTTGTTATCAGATTGGATCGATTTGTTGATAAACAGAATATATACTAAGTAATAGTCAATATGGATTTAGACCAAACAATTCTACATCAATGGCACTCATTGAATTTATGGAACAAATAACAACTGCTATTGACCAAAAAAAGTGTTGTATTAGTATTTATGTTGATTTAAGGAAGGCCTTCGATACTATAGACCACGGGATTCTTCTTGAGAAGTTGTATAGATATGGTATTAGAGGGCCAGCATTAAAATGGGTGAATAGTTATTTAGAAGGAAGGAAACAGTTTGTTCAACTACATGACAGAAGATCTGAGTTTTGTAATATCACGTGTGGAGTGCCCCAGGGTTCAGTACTTGGACCCAAGTTATTTAATTTATATGTAAACGACTTAGTAAATGTGTCAGGTCTTTTTAGATGTTTTTTATTTGCAGATCATACAACTTTTTTTTTGTCAGGGTAAAGATATAGAACAAACGCTGAAAATGACACAAATAGAAATTGTGAAAATTCAAAATTGGTTTCATCTTAATAAATTATCATTAAATCTAGATAAAACAGATTATATGATATTCAGTAATAGTAAAAGAAAAGTTGATGCTCCATTTATGGTAGAAGGAACTGAGATTCTTAGAGTTAATGAGGTGAAGTTCTTGGGTGTTATTATTGATGAAAAATTGACATGGAAATCTCATATAAATAACTTAAGAACAAAAGTAGCAAAATCGATAGCAATTCTGTACAAAGTAAAGGAGTTATTTAATGAAAAAGCACTATTTATGTTGTATAATGCACTAATTGTTCCTCATTTAAATTACTGTATCGAAGTCTGGGGTAAAGCATGTAAAACAATTACAAACCCACTTTTTATTTGACAGAAAAGAGCAGTATGAATTATCACCAGACAAAAATTAAGACATCCATCAAATGTATTGTTTTGTCAACTCCAGATATTGAAATTCTATGATTTGGTCAATTACAGCATTTTGCAGATTATGTATAGGGCTCATAAAATCATATTGCCCGTCAATATTCAAGTACATTTTATTAAAAGGGAGAGTGTTTATTTTCTTAAAGGGATAGAAATGTTTGTGAAGCCTTATTTTAGCACTAGTTTAAAAGAACGATCCTCTGTAATCCAGGGGATAAGATTATGGAATGGTCTGGACGATACATTTAAAAATGCCAGATCTCAACATATATTTAAGAGAATGTTAAAGGAGAGTTATTTGACAGAATACAAAAAACTCCAAATTGAATCCACTAAAGTTATTGTTTGAGTTGATGATGTTGTTCTTTAGTTGATCTTGTTTTAAATCACTGAATTTGTTGCACGTCTTGCTTTTTGTTTTTGTTTGGTAACGAGACAGTAAGGGTAAAAAAGGGGCAGATTTTATAAGATTCATTCTTCTTCTGCTGCCTTTCATTTTATTTTGACTGTATACATTTTTTTATTATTATTTTTGAGTTGTTATGGTTTTAATGCAATGAAATGAATAAATTAAATAAATAAATAAATAAATAAATAAATAAATAAATAAATAAATAAATAAATAAATAAATAAATAAAAAGCGCCTCTAAATGTAAATGGACTGTACTTATATATCTCCTTTCTATCTTATTTCAAGATACTCAAAGCTCTTTACAACAATCTGTGCCTCATGTACCCATTCATACAGCTCTATACTAGATCTATACAAATATAATTGAACAAATCATTCTAAAGAGAATAATCAGAGCTTTATCACATTCATTCACTGATGGGACACACATCTGAGGCTATGAGGGGTTCAGTGTCTTGCCCAGGGACACTTCGACATGTGACTGCTGATGGATTCGAACCCCCAACTCTCGCATTGGAGGACGACTGCTCTAACCATTCAGCCACAGTCGCCCAGTAGTGGAATATAAAGAGTAAATGAGTATTTGTCTGGGTGCAAAATTCTCATTTCAACTGGATGTTCAGATCCCGGATGAGCCCCCAACTATGGCCTAACCTGGAATAAAAGAGTGCAACATTAACTGTTGCACATGACTTATATAACAGTATTTTTATAATATGATAATAACAACAAAGCACATATATTATATAGTACACCCACTGGAGATTTTAGTTTTTTATATTATTATCAGTACATTTAGTAAGCGCACTGATTAAATGGTGATGCTGTATGTGCTCCTTTTTTAGTTTTCTTATCTGTTTTTACATCTCCAATCAGTTTCAAAATTTCCCTTGTTGACCTGTCTCTCTAAAACTCAACTTGCTGCTTTTAAGATGGAAAATTAAAGCTAAGACAAAAAGTTGTATCACATTTGTTAAAAATTTTCACAGACAATGTTTCATTATCAACTATTTGTTGTAACTAAAGAAATGTGAGTAATACAGGCTGTTTTAACTGTATGCTTTAGATATGCTGTATATTAGATATGATATTGTTAATATTATTGTTGTGTTAGATTCTGCTGTATTCAACAATGTCAAAACCGTCAGTTTAAATCATCAACTAAAAGACCTTTTTTCACAGTAACGGTCATTTTAAATAAGCAGAAGTTACTTTTTTATTGAAGTTTTGCAGTCATGTGAAAATGACTATGGTACTTTTTTAAACGAGTTTCAGAGTAAAAAAAATTTTTTTGAAAAATTTTTTCTTACATTTTTTGATGAAGACAGTCAAAACACAAGCTTTTAAAATTGATGATGTCTTAGCCCAACCTCTAATTTAACTAAGAGCACAAGTGCATCCTCCTTTTCTTCTTTCTAATTTTAGTTTTATTTAAGTTTATGTGTTGTTGTTGTTGTTTTCTGTTTTGGATATATTTTCTTGGCAACATCACATCATTTTAAATTCTATCTTGTAAATATTTTCTTGTGGTATTTCTTGTTTGAAAAAGGCATTCATAAATTTTGGAGAAATTTTTTTCTTTTTCTTTTGGCTTGTGTCCATGTAACGTGAAAGAAAACATCGTGGTAGTCTACTCCCATTAAGTGTTTTGTAACAGTGGATATACTACTGAGACTAATGTTGTAATAGATTTGAAAAAAAAAAAAAAACTTCCCTTAACTGTGAAATGCATTATTTTCTTTCATCTAAAGTGCAGGTTGACCTTCAGTTGGAAGGTGCAGTGTGGACCCACAGCCAGTGGTACTTACAGGCCCAGTTGGAAGATCACAGCAGGTCTCCAGTTCTGCATGCTTTGAATCACAGTAAATCATCATCCTCTGGAGGTCAAACTGCAGGAACACAAACACACAGCTGATCAACAGATCAGTCTTTAAGAACAAAAACTTATATGAAGAAAGGTTTTGAGAGGAAGTGTAGAGACGCACATCAATCGGCACGCTGTCATACAGCCTCTTCCCGATCACAGTCTTTCCCTGAATATCGATGTCCTCCCGGTCCTCAATGGGCAGAGTCTGGATGTGTTTACAGTCCAGGTACAGGGACACAGACTTTGCCTCCACACTGAGTGCAATCTTGTGCCAGTTGCGGTCAAACAAACTGTCAACTTCAGGGTTTTTAAAGACAGTTCTGACAGCATCTTTTGTCAGCCCAACAGCGTTGTACTCCACTGCCTTGTTCTCGCCATCCAGACGGATGGACACCTGATGGACGACATCAGTGAAAGAAGAAGTTTCACTTTATTTGCAACAAACCAGCAGGGTAGCAAGAATGATGAGGAATGAGTGAGCTGGGCCTAATCTTGAGTGTAATTTATCTAAAACAGGATACTCACAGTCAGACGTATTATTGACCCACCTGTGGGATTCCATATTTATCATAAATCTGCCAGAGGTACCAATCTTCACGTCTTGAGGTTTTTCTGAATTTGAATGTGGTCACAAAGGCATACTCATCTGGCAGACCTTGAGAAAACACTTCTCTGCAGAATAAAAGGTCATTGTTAGTTATTGCAGTGGAGGTGATAAACAGTAAATATGAGTGGATGAACCTTGATGAACATGGTGTCTGAGGCATGTCACACGTTACAGACACCATGTGGCACACATACTGCCCTGGTAGGACACTCAGACACTGAGTCATTGAAGGATTGCACCTCTTTTTCAGAAGCAAATCAGCAAGTTGTGATTCTAATCACCCAAATCTTCACAAAGGGAAACGTGTGCCTCAAACTGAGCTGCCAAACCAACACGTTTTCTTTCTGCTGACAAATCTGGTGCATATTTCAAATAGATGGGGGTGGGTTTGTATTTGGAGGAAAGCTGCCCAACTTCATATAAATAACTAGCAGAGTTTAACACTGTCTGATTCTTCAAGACCTCCACTGTTTGCGATGTATCCTGAGACTTGGTAGTAATTACCCAACCCTTCCTGTGGAGGAAGAGAGCGTGGTCCAGGACAGAAATCAAGGACAAGTTTGTTTGTTTGTTTTTTTAACCAAGTGAAAATAAGATAGTGATAGAAATATAAGTAATATTTTTATATTTCATCTGTTAAAATCTATCTCATTAATTTTTTTTTAAATTATTTTCTTTCTCTGTCACTTTGTAATTTTAGTCCTTGTGACAGTGGATTATATTCACAATGTGAAGTGATTAGAGCTGTGTCTGACTGCAAACAGTGACCTGGCATGATTTTATTGTTATTTGCTTCATGGTTATGACACTGAGACAAAACAATAAATGTGCAAAAAAATGCAGCAAAGTCCAGACTCTGTGTAGTCTTAGGCCCTGTTTACATGACAACGATCCAATGAAAATTGATTTTTTTCCCCCATTTCTATTAACACATTTACAGGAAAACATTCTAATTACAATCTCTGTTTACACAGGAACGGTAGATGTGGAAAAGGTGTAATTCCCTCGCCACGCCACTAGTTGCTGCTGTGTTCTTTGAACTTGAAACTAAGTGTGTATGCATAAAAAAAAAAACATTCTACTTGAAAGTACCTACAATGGTCAAGATGGCAGAGAATGAAATATTTCTATGGACAGACGACGAAGTTCAACTGTTGTTTAGTGGAGCTGCATGAGATCCGTCCGATGATTTAATGATTTAAGTAAAGAGGTAGAAAATGAGCACTGTGTTGGAGAGCTGTAGTTAGATTTAGAAGAGTCAGAAGCACAAACAGTACTCTGGTATCCGCTATTGTCAATATTTTCTTTATCTGTGGATTGTAGGAAGCTGTTATGTTTTGCATCATAGTGCACATGAGCCAGGGATTCCCTGACAGAAAAGAACTGTTTGTTCTGTCTACACGACCATGGACACCAGGACGTTTTGAACCATTGCACTCTGGAATCTGTTCTCAAATTGTGCCATTGTCAGAGAAACATTTGCTATTTTCGTGTAAATGAATTGTAAAAATGCAATGAAACTCTTCCATTTTCACTAGAAATCATTTTTGTGTAAACAGGGCCTTATGGGTCTTTTCCACAGCTCCTCTTCAGCGCGGTTCGTCTCAGATGGGTTTTGAGCGCTTTTCCGCTGTCATTTTTTTGTGGAACCGGATCTTTTTGGTCCCTTCTTCGCAAGGGGACCAAGTTGTCAGGATTTATCAGGAAAGGAGCAAACCCAATAGTTGCAGACAGGACTCAGGACACAGGAAGTACAAAAATATGGATATTTAATCATATTAATCCAAAATGGCTGACATGGCAGCAACTCACACTCAGGGGACTTGAACAGGACAGGATACATCAGAATAGGACAAGGAAGACCCAACGATGATGCGACAAAGGACAAGACTCACAGAACAGGCCTAAATACACAGTTAAGACAGGACGTGATTACAAACAGCTGGGAACAGAAGGTGGAATTAATCAAGACTAATGAGATACACACAAGGGTGCACAGACAGGGAAGGCCCACAAGATGGTGCCATACCTACACAAGTGAGCCGAGCCGGCAGAAAAATGTGACGTCAGAACACTGATGGTCACTGATTGGTCAGGGGGAGGAGTCACTGGATCTTTCAGAAACTTTTCAAAACACCGATCCGCCCTTTGCAATTATTCGGAACTCAGAGCAGCGGCTGGACGTATTTTTAATATTTTAAATGGTAAATGGACTGTACTTATATAGTGCCTTTCTATCTTATTTCAAGATACTCAAAGCAAAAAAACAAAACAAAAAAACAATAATAACAACACCGTGGTCTAATGCTGAAGTTCAGGCATTTATGTGTGCATGGTGGCCCACAACAAAATACAGAGCGAGCTAGATGTTCTAGAATGTTCTAGAATAGCACCGCTCAAGGTGGCTGCATGTTGGAGCAGCTCTGTTACTTTCATTCTGAGATTTTGCTTTTGGAAGTTGGATGTCCGCATCGACGAGGAGCTCGTCAGACTGCTGGGAGGAGTGGCCATCGCACTGGGAGGAGTTCTGCCCTGCATTTGGGTGGTACTACAGCCTGAGGGAACCGAGAGGCCAGCCAAGTCTGGGTGGACGGATCGAACGGCATCTGCAGCCAGTTTCTTAGGATCCACTGTGGAATGGACCTTTACAAGAGATCCTTCCTGCCTACACCCATCAGTATCTATAACATCTCTTAATGAAATGAGGATAACGAGTTACAACAACAAATAATTTCCCTTTGGGATTAATAAAGTATTTTTGAGTTGAATTGAATTGAACTGAAGATGGAGCTCCGTTGGTCCCCGACTCCCACCAGTCCTCTCCACCGGAGCTTCGGAGCCCCCTCAGACTGTGCAGGGCGTCATCTCCCGAGCGCTGAGCTCCGATGGTTACCGCGGAAGATCCTCCATGCTGCCAGCTCAGGCTCCAGATCCCGGCTTTGCGTGCTCTGCAGGCTCCGAGCTCCACTGGTCACTACGGAGGAACGGAGGATCACACGAGCTGCTGACTCACAGAAGGCCGGGGTCCGGACCCCGGACTCGCATGGTCATGCAGGCCAAACGCTGATCCCGGCAGAAGACCAGGACTGGTCTGGGATGGAGAGTGGGAATGATTTTTAAAAACATTTTATTTATA